AAAAAAAAAATTGTATTACTTAGTTAAATATTTTAAAATATGGTGATGAGTACAAAGCAGAGTATCAATACATGGATATATTATATCAAAAATAAAACTAAATCAATATGAACTTAGAAGGCATAGTATTTAAAATAATGACTCATGAGACGTAAGTTTTTGCATTCCAGTAACCGACATTATTGAATTTCCGTTCCATGCCATCCAGCGACGCTCCTGCATTTACGACAGGATACGAAACGACCGCACTCATTTTACATGTAAATACGATGAGTAAGCAATTACAATGACGTAAGCTGCTTTATTCGGATTATTGTCCACCATGCAAACCGCTTCGTGATATAATTTGTCATTACGTTATTCGGTCCAGACTCCACCACAATACTATTTACATAATATAGGTACTATTAGTAGCTCAAATTTCTGACTATTCTATTGCCCGAATTCCTTAATTTTACGAGCGATCATCTGAACTGGGCGTTATCATGTAAATTTGTCAAAATGTATGATAATTTCTATTCGGCCTGATAAATGTTATTATGCGGTAAATACATTAAAAGGTTAACCATAGCAGTATGCGAATAGTATAGTTATTAGTAATATATATTAGTATATATATATAATATATATTATACTCTGTTTTTAAACTAGGAGGAGCGAATTGAAAAGACGCATTTACACAGGGAAAAGTAACTAGATTTGTTACTAAGAGCGAGTTTCGAAATATAGTCGTGTTCAAAATTTATGAAATAATTATCTTTATCGGCCTTAGTCGGTGAACGGCCAATGAGCGGTTAAGAAATGAATAAATGTCATAGAAGTAATTTTTTAATTGGTCCCAGACAACGGTCGCAAATTTCACACTATTAGGCATTCCAAACTTAATGGCTACCAGTGGGTTTTGACGGGTTATGATATGGCAAAATTATGGCAACCCTGTAGGCCTGGTGATTTGACAAGATCAATGAAATAGATAGTTACATAGATTGATCATCCATATTTTTCAAAATAAACATAAGCTTATGCCTTAAAGTAAAAATATAAGCAATTATTTTTTTTAAATACCTAAAGGCTAAACCGATTCAAATTAATAAATATTTACCAGACAATATGGCCGCTTGTAAACGACCAGCTTTGAGCAATCTATATAACTATATATGTATCATTGACCCTGTTAATGACAACATGACAACAGGGTTGCCATATCTAAACTGTCATTACCCACTGGTAGCCATTTGGACAGGTCGTTGGAATGCCTAATTGTGATCTGAAATGTGTGTCTAAAACGAAATGTCACTCTCAAATTAAAGTCAATATGGTTGTTGATTGATGTCAGAAATACTTTTTTCTTGCTTTTGAAATCGACTTTTGAGAATAACTATGATCTTTTTAAAATGGATATTAAATATTTAAGAAAATTATTAATGGAATATCCAGATGTAGCCAGGTTAGTATAAAATATAAAGATCTGTTTACATTTTTAAGGATATATTTGTTATAGGTATAAAAAGTAAAAGTTAATCAGTTAATGACAAGTGGATCACACAGTAACTGGTATCTCTTCTATGAGTAATGTGGATATTATGGCTTATTTAGTGTTAACCCATGGTTAATGCGCTAGAGGGCAAATAAAGGCATTCAAAAGTTTACAGGCCTATGAGTCAGAATTTGTTTTAAAAACTGGAACCAACATTTTCATAACACTACATGTCAACATATATTTTTTAAAGTGAACTATTCATACATACCTATGTATTAATTTTAAGTATTTTTAAAATATTTTTTGTGAAAGTAATGTTAACTCATTGTGCCAAATTAAGATTATCCCTAAAGTAGTAGATGGTGTTTTAAATGTTATAACAATTTTGTAAATAGTTTTATTCTATTCTAATAAATAAAATTTGCTTGAATATTTAGTTACATTTTAATCATTTTGGTTAGAAATTCATCAATTTTTAGTTTTAAAAAATCAGTAATAAAATTATTTTTTTCTAAAAATACTTCGGAATTTATCTCTTCGTGGTAATCTCCCATCTTTTTACCTTCAAAAACCAATAATGCCTTTTCTACAAAACCTTCAGAATCAGCATGTAAAATTAGGCTAATGGCCGTAGTATTCGACGCCGATGACACCAAATTAAAAAAAAAATAATAAGGTGTCTTCCCTTTCTTGTAAGGCTTTTCAGGAATTGCTACCTTTAATAGTACTCAGTGTAGAAGGATCCATAATTGTAGATTTTCAATAGAATTGCTTACTGAAGAACTATTATTTACGAAATAAAGTAAAAAACTAAGTAATGGATGGATATCAAATTATAAAATGACAGAACTGTCAACAATATCAATTATTAGCTGATGTTCATGCTAAAAAGTAATGTGTGAAACTGACTGTAATCTGACCAATCAGAAGGCTACAGAATTGCCAGCTTAAATTCAAATCGCTCCTCTTAGTTTAAAAACAGAGTATAGTAATATAAAAATTTATTTAAAACAAACGAAACACAAAAACTAGTAGAAATTAAGTATAGAATAGTATATAAATATTAAATAGTAATTTGTAATTAAATATTTTTCGAAATTTTCTATTAAAAATTTTTGTCTTCTGTCTGTAAAAATATGTTTTGATATAGAAAAGGTCCTTTCAACATCTACCGAAGTAATAGGACATGTACCGTAATTTTGGAAGTAAAACGTAAAACTTCTTTGGAAAATTTTCCCTCAAAAATGTTTTTCACTTCCCTTATTTCATTGAACCCTTCATTCTTTAATAAAGTTGTATTTAATTTTTTTCTAATCTTAAGGCCTATGTCACCAGGAACATTGTTACATTTATCGGAAACTGTTGCAATAAAATTTGTTGATTCGATTAAAATTAAATTTTTCTTTTCCAATGAAGTTATTACATCAGGTAAAAAACTAAAATTAACCTTTATAAACACAAGTTGCTTAGGCCCAAGGGGATTTTTAACAATTTTTTACTTTGCACTACACATTGTGAATTGTCTTCTATATCCAAAATTAAATCCTTAATTGCTTCAAAATTTTCTGCATAGAATATAGCTGCTTTAATCCATGTCCCCCATCGCGTAATTACGGGTTCCGGGGGCAAACACACCCCTACCATTCTCTCTTTATACAACTGCACTCTTAAAGGGGCTTTTAAAAATATTTTTTTCACATTCGAAATTAGCTTGTTAACCAAGGGATATTCTGTTCTCACAGTTTCTGCAACTAAGTTTATTCCATGCAGAAGACAAGTAACGTGGACCATATTTGGATAAAATATTTTTAAGTTTTGCCCTACTTTTATCATATATGGTGCTGCGTCAGACAAAAACACTAAGAACTTCTATGAGGGAATTTGATTTGGTAAAAAAAATTCTGCTAGAGATTGTTGAATAAATCGGGTAACAGTTGTATTGTTAGTTTTTTCTAACTATTTTGATGCAATTAAATATGATGTACCTGGTTCATTTTCTTTTAAGGCTCCAATCATAAGATGTACTATATATCTTCCACAAGCATCTGTGCTTTCATCAACAATGATGTAAAAATTGCTATCATCCAGTAAAACTTTAATTTCCTCTATTACATTTATATATATAGCATGTACATTTTTTGTAGTGTAGATTCGTCAGGAATGGTGTGATTGCAATATTTTTGTAAAAATTCTCTTAGATGTAGGTTTTGTAACTTCTTTAATGGAATATTTGCCGCAACAAGAGCTTTGCACAAGTCCTGATTAAATACCTCCTTGTCACTTTTTGTTTTGTCGGCCGGCGTTTTGAAATGACCTCACAACGCATTGTTGAACCGGTTGTGATTTCATTTTTTGCAATTTGGCTTTATGCAATGATGTTTTCACGTGTTGAACCACTTTGAACTTTTTTTCGCAAACCACTATTTTGGCACAAGCTTTACAAAAAACTTTATCCCCATTGATTTCCAACTCTGGAAAGTTAATAATCCACGAAGAAATTCTCGACATTTTAGGACACTTTTAAAACAACAAATTATTACAAGACTTTTCACTAGGCAAATAACGATGATACTATCTGATTAAACTGAATGAAAAACATTTAAAATATTCCGATGTTAGGGTAGATTGGTTACAAGAAATTACTGAGAATTTTATATAAACCGTTTTATTGCATTGTAGGTAATACTTTATCTGTGTAAATACCATCTATTAACTATTACCTTAATGGGCTTAATCTCTTAAGAAGGTAAAAACCCAGTGAATGCCACCCTCCAAGAACCAATTAACAAGAATTTACAAGAAGTGACACTTTAAAACAAATACAAAAATTTAAAAGGTCTTTATTTCAAATATATCTGTATAATCTGTTAAAACAGTTTTTGATTTGCACAGTATAGTAATACATTTTTTTTTTCGAAAATATGCAATATTTTCTTAAATTTTCTGAACTTTGGTAAAATATGCAATATTTTCTGAATTTTGGAAAAATATGCAATATTTTCTGAATTTTGGTAAAATATGCAAAAAATGCATATATGTGCATTTTGCATATATTCCGCTCTCTAGTTATTACATTTATTTTTTGTCATAAAATAGCATAAAATTGACCTACCCGAGTGTTTTTCACCTTAATTTCAAATTAAGTTTAAAGGGAGAGGGGGTAAGATATCTCCGCAATATATAACACAAATGATAGCAGATGGAGCGTAAATAATTTCTTATTTTGAGCGTTGTGTAACTAATTTACATTTGAGTTTCTTCAGATGTTGAAGTTCGATAATAAAATATGAAATTATGATTTCAGTTTTCTCTAGATTAAATAACAGAACTTGCTTTTTTTACGCTAAATAATTATAATAAACCCTTCTCCGTGCACAAGCTTTTAGACGTAAGAAAGCAAGTCAATTACATGCAGATTACTGTTAATAAATTTGGATATAAAAACTAAACAAATAAAAACAATTCAGATTCTTGTTTGGTTAATGTTGACACAATTTTTTTTAGTCTTTATTGTCGTAAGTCAGACAACAAAACGAAGAATGTTTCTCCGCACGAAATTTACACAATAATTCCCTCTGTTTGGCAGATTTATAGGTGTCCTTCCACCATACAATAGTGCAATTGTTACCGCAATTGCAAATTTATCTAATCCGGCTTTAGCATTATGTGATTTGTCGCCCTGCATAATAAGGAGCAGGACAGTGCTAATAAAGAATGCCATCAGCGTCCTAAAATATAAATAAACACTACATTAATTAACCTCACAAATCTCGCAAAATCCTGCCGATCTGCCGTAACTCAGAAAATTGATTTTTTTTTTGGAGTTGAACCAAAAACATTTTTAGGGCAATAACATAGAGAAAACAGTGTTAAATTTGACCAAAAATTGACTTAATTTTGAGCCAAGCAAGTGAATATGTTGTTTTAAATATTTACTAAGAATTTGTGTTCTTAAAACAAAAACAACGATATTTAGGTTTAAAGTAAATTTGATATGACGATTGTTGAATTGAGTACAATAGTTCTTGTTCATTTTTTACCTAAAAAAGAAACATTCTTAATTTAATTGTTTATTTCTTAACTTATTTTTAATAAAAATATATTAATTAGATTTTTGTTTGAATACAAAAGTATATATGGAAGATGAATTAGAAATTGGTATTTTAGAAGAACTTAACGATAAATAAATTAAAGAATGGAGCATTCAATTTAAGCAAAAGTTTTAGTTGACAGAGACAATATAAATTTATCTTTCGTATAAGGACTTTTATAGTTTACTCTCACAGATAAAGTCAATTTTGAATTCAAGGCCTTTTACACCACTCAGAGAAGATCCGAATGATCTCCAATCTTTGAACCCAGGGCATTTTATTATTGCTATACTATTATACTATTAATGAAGCTCCTCTCAAAACAAGCATAGCTACTTTTTCGTCGCGTACAAGTACATGAAAATTATGGTTCAATACCTCTGGTCTAGATCGTCCAAGGAATACCTTCATCAAATGGTTCAACGATCCTAAAACTTTAAAGCAAGGATCTTTTGTGATAATAAAAGAAGATTCAACTTCACCCTTAAATTGGCGAATACTGGAACTTTATCCAGGGCACGATAACGTAGTCAGAGTGGTTTCCATAGAAACTTATACGAGCTATTTGCTTCTTACCTATGGATTGTTGAAGTTCTACTTACTTTAGGAGGGGGCGGCATGTTCAGTCTGGAGCACATACTTTGATTTTCTCTTACTATACGGAGAATAGTCGCACTGCGCAGCTTTCTGAGTGCTTTTTAAAAGAAGATAAAAACTCCGCCATTTTGATGCCTTTTTACGTGTTGCCTATATCTTGGCGCAATATTTTTAATAGGTGCGTTTTAATCATCCGCTTCTGCTTCGGAATTGTCGGTTTTCTTGTTTTAATCTGACAGGTTAAAACGACTAAACCTATATAGATTATAAAAAAGGTTTTTTTAAATCTTCTGATGGATGAAATGACAATTATGCAAAGGGTGGAATGGACTAGCCAAATATATATTGGATATGTTGATATTGGCAGCAAGTTTCAACAAAATCAGTCAGTTGAAGCAAAATAACCTATTGTATTCTGCTTGTAAAGTTATTAAATATGTCTATTACGAATAGTTAGGTACCTACTATATTTTATATTATCTCTTGTTTTGATTACATTGAATAATAATTTTATTATAAAACATGTACATTTAATATTATTACTACTAGAAATAAATTATTGTTATTTGTTTTTCTTTTATTTACTAACTATTTCAGTTTCTAAATGATCTACTTGAACTAAACGAAAATAATGTGTGATCATGAATTCATTTGAAAGCATACATTTTCAAAACCTATATCTACAATAAATAAAAATTTTGAATCCTAAACGAACATATAGTAATTTCCAGTAAAACATGTATACAATACAATGTATAACGAAAGCTTAACATAAATAGAAGAAGAACATTGTTTAAATTTGTTTATTAATCATGCCAATCAATTTTCTAAATTATTAGTTATTGTGAAATTACAGTGCATAAATGGTAAACATAAATACGAACCCTTTCAAACTGTACGCCATTGAGAATGGCGTACCTACCTTTCTCCCCTCACGCCAGAAGTGATGACCCCGCTTATACATAACAAAATACATTGAATGATATCTCTAGTCTTATATGCTCTAAGATCACTAACATTTTTATATTACTCTATAAATACGAGTTGTCATAGTAAATGTCAAAGATTCTTCTATCATCGTATAACGACAGAAATACCCAATACCCGAATTTTTAGTAGATCTCGTACTATTCAAATGCTTTACCTACATTATCTTTTTTGTAAATTTTGCATATAAATAAATATTGAGATGGGAAACACGATATTCGCTTATTGTAAAAGGCGTCTCGAAATATAATAAAATTCCATATCCATTCGGCTTCAAAACTGTCATATTGTCCATCTCTTTCGAACCAATCCGCAAATTGAATCGTAACTGCAAAGACAAATAAATCGATAGGAATTGTTTCGAATTCATTCTGTGAAACTTTGTCTCAAAATAGATGTAATACGTAAAGAACAGGTTATGTTTATTTCTCTTGTACAACGACAAACATAAAATTTTATCGTATTGTTCGGTTATATGCCAAGTTGAATTTCTTTTCAAATGTTAGTACGCAAATATTGACCATTTCGTTACTTGAATTTCAAATAAAACCGACGTGACTAGTGTTTTGGATTTTATTTTGTGGTATATAACTAAATCGTTCATTTGATGAATATAATTCATAAAAAGCGTAGAGCTTTAAATTTTTGTTTTTTCTCTTACGAGGATTACAATATTAAAACCACTGTTGTCTTTGATTGTGAGAAGAAATTAAAAACTTTTTGTTTAATGTTTTTATATGAAACTTGAGAGTTTTCGTTTGCTGTTGAAAAGTTTGTCAATTTGTAAATTAGTAACGCTTCAATAACGGTAAATATACCCAGTTATTTATGGAACTAGGACCACGGCACAACTTTAAGGTCAATTCTTAGGGCATTTAAATATGCAAGAAAGATTGTTAAAATTTCTCATTAGCTAATGAACCCATAACTTTATTGAGTCTTTAAATTACCTTCTAAATGGTAAATTTGGCAACGGTGTTTTTCCAAATGACAATTTGAAGTATGACAACTATCAAAATACGTCCCTATCAAGAATTATCTCTGTCTTTGTCGACCCATTTATTATAACACAGTGCAGGTGAACACAAACGATATGTTTTCACAATGAGCGGAAATTTTTTGGTAAGAAACGTCTCTTCGCGTTGCAACACCTGCAAAGAAAGGTAAAAGCGCAAAGAACAAAGAGGTGAATTGAAAGAAGATTTAATACTGTGAAAAATTAGATTTTACGATAGAAAACAAAGGATTATTTACAAATAGTAAGTACTTTAATTACAAGAAATAATATTCCTTTATTTACAAATAATATATTCTTGTAGCAAAACCTAATATGCAGTGATACAAGGACTTTATTAATAACCAAAATGTAAATAACAAATTTTTTGGGAAACGAAAAGGAACAACATGATAAAATAATCTTACATTTTTTAATTACCCTGTTCCATAACCTAAATTGATAACAAAAAAATACATTGAAAATTAAATAATAATTAAAAAGTTAATGGTGTTTCATTTTTTATTATTAATAAGAACAAGATACATTTATAAAATTTAAACTGAGCAACATGTATTTTCATTAACTATTTAGGTATTAAATTATAGAGGGTATCTAACTGTTTAAATGTGGTCATTTTCATAAACAAAAATAAATATGGGTACTAAATGCCATAAAATGTTTATTATTGTTTACAATGTTTCGGTTTTGGCCCAAGGGATATCTTCAGTACTGAATGCAGCTATTATGTATGAAAGAGGCCAAAGGTATCCAAAAGCGTAATGTCTTCAAGATGAGACAAAGGGCGGATTGCCAGAGGAGGGGAAAAGTTTTCTTTTTTAAGTCGAGTATGATATATTACTGGTTGTGAGAAAAAAAATATATATATATATAGGTTGGTTATATTTACCTTTAGCAAGAAAGGAATAAATGAGTACCTATGTAAGTATCTTTTGACTAGGAAGAAAGTGATGAGGTAATAACTGTGATTGTGGTACCTGCAAAAAAAGTGAAAAACAAAAATCACCCTCCGTAATCCAGCTGAGGTTTTGTATCCCAATAGACTAAATTAATATCAGTTGGTAACAATAATAACTTCACTAGTCACCCTAAAACAATGTCACTAAGCTATTTGATATAACTGTTAGTTACTTAGGAGTTACTAAAGATCGGCTATTTTCAGTATTACATTTCTTGTTCTACTAGATCTCGTGGGATACGAATATTGTTCAAGACTCGTGACTATCCTAAAAAGGAAAATGCGGTATATTCTTTTTTTATGCTTTTTTCACAATATGTAGAATATAGACCGTTTTAATTTTTGTTTTCTCTGCATTTATTTCCATTCTCAGTTGGATATTAAAAAAAAACTAGCTAAATCTAAAAAAAATATAGAGTATGCAAGATTCATTAGTTATGGTCTGAAAATTATTGAATATATATTTATTTATTGGATCACTAAGTAATGAGTCGTTATAGGGATTCGAGGGAAATATATAAAATATTTGTTGGACCAACCCTACGCTCGATAATGTCCGATTAAAAAAACAGTTAAATAAATATGGTGGACAGCTGTCATCTTTTTTCTTTTTTATTATTCTACATTAATATTTATACATATATACATTGTTTGTACAATATTTTAAATATTTTGAAGATAATATCCAGGAAGGTATCAAGCTGATTTTTTAACAAGCGTTACAAAAAAATGTATCCTAATTTTGAGAACTAAATCCATCGATTTTCTAAACCAAATTATTGTTGCCCTTATGTTTTATGCAATTGGGTTATTCTAACAAACAATTTAATAAACATTCTTAAAATCTACCGTCTAGGTGCCATAGTCTAATTTCCACATCCGCTCAACCGTAAAATCGCCAGATTTTATATGACCAATGATGTATTGTTATATAGATTGCTCATTTATATGTAAAGCAGACATCGAGATAGAATAAAGTAGAGACAATATAAACACTATTTTGCGATATGACAGATCGTTGTAGGGCAATCGCCTCTGCTTATTTAAAAACTTAAAATTGTCCATATCAAAGTTGGCTAC